TTTCTTCCTTTTTGGTGCTTCAAGCCGTCCCTTCATTTTGAAGAAATGATTATTCCACTTTATAAAATTCACCGCTCAACTCCATAAGTAAGGCTGAAATCAATTATGAGTGGAAGTTCAGCAGTGAGGAGACTGCTGCCTGTCTCAAGGAAGCAGTTGAGGAGATCGTGGAGGTACATCAACGCTGCAGTCTCACCAGTCCACTTCAATAATCCGTCACCTCTCCTGGTTAGACCATAGATCCTGATATAGTCTTACTCAGTGATGCCACACCATTTGGTCGTGCACATCAGTTAGTGGAAGTGTTGTTTGCAGGAGGAGCAGAGTAGAGGACTGAGAGTGAGGTCATTCCACTGCAGTGCTCCAGGTCCAGCCACTACTGGGGCTCAGGGACGACCCAGGAGTGATCGGGACGACCTCCCAATGTCTCTGGACCACTTCCGCAAACCTAGTCAACCTGCTGCCGGGACCACTGGCCATCAGGAGGATGGATGGTGTGATGGATACACTCTGCCTCACCCTGTGTGGAGTGAGGAGGAATTGAACTCTGTCCAGATCACTCACACTCCTCCAGAGAAACCTGTTGACACGGTACACAGTCACTACAACTCTTACTAACTACTCCAAACACTGACCCTACTCCCCTGCAGGCTGCCTATTACTCTGTGCAGATGCTGAGGACGGGGTTTGATCTGTTGTCTGGGTATTCGTGGGGCAAGAGGTTTGGTACACTGGATGAGAAGATGTGGCTGTCAAGAATCATCTATCTTGAGACAGTGGCCGGAGTACCAGGTGAGAAAGATCCATCAATTATGTCTGTGTGCCTAGTTCGAATCTTGACTGAATTGAATATTAATGTGACCTAACCTACATTTAGTGTCAAGGGTTTTCACAAGAATCAGTTACTCATTTAGTGTGACCGAATTGAATATTAATGTGACCTAACTACATTTAGTGTCAAGGGTTTTCACAAGATTCAATTCGGTCACACTAAATGAGTAACTGATTCTTGTGAAAACCCTTGACACTAAATGTAGGTTAGGTCACATTAATATTCAATTCAGTCAAGATTCGAACTAGGCACACAGACATATTATTGCTGGATTTTTCTCACCTGGTACTCCGGCCACTGTCTCAAGATAGATGATTCTTGACAGCCACATCTTCTCATCCAGTGTACCAAACCTCTTGCCCCACGAATACCCAGACAACAGATCAAACCCCGTCCTCAGCATCTGCACAGAGTAATAGGCAGCCTGCAGGGGAGTAGGGTCAGTGTTTGGAGTAGTTAGTAAGAGTTGTGTGACTGTGTACCGTGTCAACAGGTTTCTCGGGAGGAGTGTGAGTGATCTGGACAGAGTTCAATTCCTCCTCACTCCACACAGGGTGAGGCAGAGTGTATCCATCACACCATCCATCCTCCTGATGGCCAGTGGTCCCGGCAGCAGGTTGACTAGGTTTGCGGAAGTGGTCCAGAGACATTGGGAGGTCGTCCCGATCACTCCTGGGTCGTCCCTGAGCCCCAGTAGTGGCTGGACCTGGAGCACTGCAGTGGAATGACCTCACTCTCAGTCCACTACTCTGCTCCTCCTGCAAACAACACTTCCACTAACTAATGTGCACGACCAAATGGTGTGGCATCACCGAGTAAGACTATATCAGGATCTATGGTCTAACCAGGAGAGGTGACGGATTATTGAAGTGGACTGGTGAGACTGCAGTGTTGATGTACCTCCACGATCTTTTCAACTGTTTCCTTGAGACAGGCAGCAGTCTCCTCACTGCTGAACTTCCACTCATAGATTTCAGCCTTACTTTATGGAGTTGAGCGGTGAATTTTATAAAGTGGAATAATCATTTCTTCAAAATGAAGGGACGGCTTGAAGCACCAAAAAGGAAGAAACAAGGGGTCATTACACAGCAAAGATGCACAAAGCTACATGACACCATCCCTATATCTTTGTCTCTCTTGCGAACTTTACTTGTGAACAATAACACGAAGATATAGGGATGGTGTCATGTAGCTTTGTGCATCTTTGCTGTGTAATCACCCCTTGTTTCTTCCTTTTTGGTGCTTCAAGCCATCCCTATATCCCCCTTCATTTTGAAGAAATGATTTTTCCACTTGTTTCCACTATTTTTCATGCCTTATGACAACACTGCATTTTCAGTCACTCTGATGTTCATGAGTGTTGTAGAGATAACTGTTGAAAGCAGAAGCTAATGGGCTGCTCCTACCTGAAGCAGGGTGTATGCATAGTGTCTCCAACAAGGATGCAATTAGGTTGTGGCACATATGGTGGGGTCGTTTCATAGGCAGGCTTCAGTGTAATCAGACTACAATGATAACTATAACCTGGGGGACAAAGAATGAAGGCGCTGGGCAAGGCCCGCGTAACACGGCGCACACTGCCAAGTTGCTCCTCGTGCAAATCAACAGCAAAACGCAAGCTAGCCAGTTAAAAATGTGTATACTGACTTACAGAAGGCACTGGAGGATAAGAATTCCTCTGCAGGCATCCTGGCTTAGTAGTTTCGTGGACCTGGTTCACGCACGAGACTAATGCGCGCGCACCGCCCGCATTGGGAAAACGCCCTCCTCGGCGCATGCGGCTCACTGATGCTGAGTTAGCAGCAAATGGCGTTGTGCAGTGACTACCGTGGAAGAGCTCAATGATCTACCGTAGTGACTTGCGGCAAGAAACAAGCGATCGCTTGATATGCGTGCACACCTCCGGAACATAATAATGGAGACGTTCTGTGAAAAAATCAACGCTTCAACTGCTTCCGGCAAGGAGCTAGCGGGTCTGAAGAAGAAGAAGAAGAATAATGATGATGATGATGATGACACGAAAATCGCGAAATCGCGTAAGAGCGAATTCTCTGGTGGGGAACTGAAGGCACGTAGGAAGTATTGGGGCATATGTAGCTAGGTCTTGGCCTCTAGACTATTGCTAGTGATTTTGAAGCCATGGTGAGTCATTCTGGCTGAGTTTTGAGGCGTTTTGTATCACGTGAGATTTCACTCGCGTCATCCCTATATAATATACAAGTGGAAAATTCATTTCTTCAAAATGAAAGGGGGATATAGGGATGGCTTGAAGCACCAAAAAGGAAGAAACAAGGGGTCATTCATTACACACCAAATATGCACAAACATATCTTTGTTTTATTGTTCATAAGCAAAGTTTAATATGAGACAAAGATATAGGGATGGTGTCATGTGGCTTTGTGCATATTTGGTGTGTAATGAATGACCCCTTGTTTCTTCCTTTTTGGTGCTTCAAGCCATCCCTATATCCCCCTTTCATTTTGAAGAAATGAATTTTCCACTTGTTTCCACTATTTTAATGGCTTATGACAACACTGCATTTTCAGTCACTCTGATGTTCATGGGTATGTTGTAGATAGGCTACCATAGACAAATTGTAACTGCTGAAAGTAGTAGCTAATGGGGCTGCTAGTGCCTGAAGCAGGGGCTAGACACCTCATGTATTGTCTTCAACAAGGATGTAATTAGATTATTGCACATGGTGGTGGTTTCATGTGCAGGCTTTGGTGATCAGGCTATAACCTGGGGGGGGACAAACAATGAAGGCCCATTTGACTGAGCGCCTCGCAAGGCTCGCGTAACACCGCACAGACTCAGGGTGTAATGCGTAGTGTCTCCAACAAGGACGCGATTTGGTTGTGGCACATTTGGTGGTGGTTTCATTGGGCAGGCTTCAGAAATCAGACTACAATGATAGCTATAACCCGGGGGACAAAGAATGAAGGCGCCTGCGTAACACGGCGCAGATTGCCAAGTTGCTCCTCGTGCAAATCAACAGCAAAACGCAAGCTAGCCACTACAAATGTTTACACTGACTTACAGAAGGCACTAGAGGATGAGAGTAGTTTTCTCTGCAGGCATCCAGTCCTGGCTTAGTCTCGTCCGTGGACCAGTTTTACGAGCATTGGAAACGCCCTCCTCTGCGCATGCGGCTCACTGATGCTGAGTTAGCAGCAAATGGCGTTGTTCAGTGACTACCGAGGAAGAGCTCAACGATCTACCATAGTGACTTGCGGCAAGAAACAAACGATCGCTTGATATGTGTGCACACCTCCGGCAAATTCTAAGACGTTCTGAGAAAAAATCAATGCTTCAAGTGCTTCCGGTAAGGAGCTAGCGGGTCTGAAGAAGAAGAAGAAGAAGAAGAAGAATATGATGATGACACAAAAATCGTGAAATCGCGTATGAGCGAATTCTTGCGTGGACGACTGAAGGTGCGTATGAGGTCTTGGGGGACATGTATAGGTAGATATGGGCCCGTATACTATTGCTAGTATGTTTTGAAGGCCTAGGGAGTGATACTCACCGAGTTTTTAGTCGTTTTGTACGCGGATCACGTGAGATTTCACCCGTGTCATCCCTATATAGAGAGTCTACCGACGCTCTGACAAGAGCGAGGGATGACCTTCGATCCTCACATTCTCACGCATGCGCACTAGGTTTGTTTATGAAGAAGATGGCTGAAAAGCCGGACCCTCCCTCCAGTTCTCCTCCACTGTCTCCGTCAGCGAACCGTTGGTCTCGTCACGAGATCCCTCTCTCTAGAAGAGAGGGCGAAGAGGTCTTAGCTCGCAGACTTAGGAGGGCACCACATCGAAAGCCAGCTCCTGTTCCTCCCCGTCCTACATTTTCTGAGCTGGTAAAGAGTTATTCTTGTGTTAATCATACCTGTTGAGTTTGTTGGGAGAGCTTGTAAAATTCGCAGAGAGATCTTAGAAGAGGTTTTCTAAGAATTAGCATTTGTTGCCAGCTGACCTGATGATAGCAGTAGAGCAAGAGTTTACAGTACATCACTGTACTGTTACAGTAGTGAAGCAGCAGCCCTTAGCATGCAGTCACCAGTGGGTTTTTTGACCTCTGTACTGGATGCTGTGTATTAGTTCGTCCACAATCGTGTATGTTGTTAATACTACTGGGTACTAGTCCATTACTCCTGGGTCCCAGTTGTAGGTGACTGTGAGAGTAGATGGATGGGTTCACAATTTTCTGTTAAGGTTATCTCTACTGCTTTTCCATACAGGACTTTCCGATTCCACTGGACAGGAAACTCCAGGTACTATGTTACCTCATCATCGGTACTTTGTTGTACATTGTCTAGTTTATGTATACATCATATGTTGCTTGTCTCCATTCAATACCCTTTAATCTGTGGCACTCTGCTAGGATTGTCTCTGAGCACATATGCGTAGTGAGGTTTACGGTTTGTGAGTCTGTCTTTGGTTTGTCTGTTTACCATTATTACAGGCTACAAGGCTGCCAATAAGTGATACCAACACTGTCAGTGCTACGTAGACGTGAATATTACTGTTTCCCATGAAACCACTGCATTCGAGAGTTTTGCATGAAACACAGCAAAAGAGCCATTAGCATAGGTAATGAGCAATGGCTTACCTCGACCGATTTTAAAACACCGTGGAGGGCACAAAGTTACTCGTAAGATGAGTATCCCGTCTAGTATTGCTCCACACACTACTCACTGGTGCTACTAGACTCTGTTGAAACTGAGTGAACGTGTGGCGTGGCCCTGCCAATTAATCATTGTGTACATTGCCTCATTTGCGCCGAGGGTTTTGACTTTTAGGTCTTTGGTTGGTATAAAATACCAATGTTTTTGTAGAGAAGTAGCCAGCATTCCCAGACAAACATGAGATGGTGATCTGTCTTCTATCACCTGTTGTCCTTTACTGTTGCACTAGTGAAGTTAGTGTGTATACTGGCAAACATCATCAAGGCAAAACCATTTGCCAAACCATTGTACTCCAGTGTAAGTGATCGTTGTCATGACTGTAGTGGAAGAAGAAGGAGGAACTAGAGTCAGAGTTGGAGAAGTGTAAAGATGAGGAGAAGAGGAGAGAACTGGAGAAGGAGATGAGAGATTGTGATGAGGTAACATTACATGACTGTTTTTGATGTCACATTGAGTACAGGCATGCCTGAGTTGTGCAAACACTCTGTGAACCCCATGATACATGTATCTGCTCCGTATGGTTATGACTGAGATGGAGGTGTCTTAAACTTCGGTGTATAAACTACTGGTTGTCTTTCTAAGACTGTAAAAGCATACTCTAAGGCCCCATGACACTTTTTCGGCCCCATTACAGCATGTTGCCATGCAATAGTTAAAAATTACCTTTTTGTTTGGGTATTTTGGACATTATATTCTGGGACTCACGCTGCAGAAAGCTGTATAGATAGAAAGTGCCGGAAAGGTCTTCAGGTGTTTTCTGCATACAGTACTTCTCCAGCTACAGCAGTTACTTCAGCCATAGTGTGTATTCTTCTGTCTTATGTATAACTATTTCATTAGTGTATCACTTTCTACTCACTTTGTTTTGCTCACTTCTCATTTACATATCCTCACTGCATAGCAGGTGTATTGAAGAACAGAGCCAGTCACATGCACATGCAAACACTTTAACTATGCCTAGCAAGCAGTGGGTTTACATTAGCCAGCTCTGTTTCGAGGAGAAGACGTTATAGAGTCATTGAATCACTCCACATACAAAGATATAGACAACCAC